TGAGAAATGGAAATGTAGAGAAGATATGGTGTGGGAGGTATGAGCTGAGCCTCTGGTTTTATAGAATAATTTAGGCAGATAGAGATGACACGTGGCGCAATTTTAGAGGGTGAAAATCTTATCTGAAATTTGAAATTCATTTGAAATTTGAAATTTTACATTTATCTGAAATTTGAATTTTGAAATGTATCTGAAATTTGAAATTTATCTGAAATTTGAATTTTGAAATGCATATGAAATTTGAAATTCGAAATTTATTTGAAATTTATCTGAAATGTGAAACCGAAAATCTTATCTGTTATGAATAGTATTGACACGTAGGAACCCAAAAATCTTACCCGAAAATATTATCCAAAATAATTGTTTAAGTAAAAAAAATTGTGAAAAAAACAAAAAAATGAATAGTAGTTGCCATGGCAAGGGTTTGATTGCTGGAAACACACATAGCTAAAAAAGGCAAGGGCAGCCACTATTCACGTGAATAGTGTCAGCCCTAGCCCCCCCCTTGCCATGGCAAGGGTTTGTTGCTGGAAATGCTCTAAGGAGGTGTTTTTGGTGGGCCCGGTATTAGCAATCCCATCTAAGACTAGGATTAGATAAAACAAACATGGTACTAAATTTAGTCCAAGCCAATCCTGTGTACCAAACGAGCCCTAAGGGTTCGCGCAGGTAGCATGACTGCCGCTCGAGCGCCCCTTAATTTCATTCAACCGTCCGTGTCTGGGCGAAAAACGTCTCTCTACCTCTCAAGTGCCTTCTGCGTCTGCTCAAGTGCCTCGCCAGCAACATTGCAACAACTCTTCCTACTGCTTTCCGCTTGCTTCCTTCTTCTTCCTTGCATCATTTGGTGGGCTAACTTCAACACAAACATATCCAAGGTATTAGAATTTTATTGAGGAACTTTAGAGTCCAAACTACAACGGATGGGGATTTTTCACACACACACAACTATGGTGTCATGGGCACTTGAGACCCCTTGTCTGCAACTCAAGGTCATTTTTTATTGGGCTAGACCCCGTTGGCAACTTTTGAACAATCATTAGGCTTGAAATAAATCTTTAGGAACCATTTAGTAGAGAGGAGCGGAAAACAAAATGGACCGATTTTCAATCTTATGTTTCTTGAGAAACACACAAAATAGAAAAAGAAAGGAAAGGTCTAACTCCATCAAAGCCCAACCCCCAATGAGCAAGGCTGATACTCATAAAAGCCCATTCTTGGGCCCTTTGCTAATTTTAATAAAAGGGTTCCTTTTTGGTTTTCCTTCTTGCATGACATGTGGAGACAACAATTAAAAGAAATTTCTTCGGTCATCAACACAATGATGTAAGCAAGGAGTTATTGTTTTCTCCTAGTCTTTTTTTTATTAGGTTAGTGAATAAGTCCATTTGTGGTGACTTCTTCTGAGCTATTCTTATGTTGAAGTTCTTCATCACCTTTTTTAGGCGTTCTCAAACAAGCCCGCTCCCTAACACTGCTCATGTTCTCTAAATTTGGATCTACATAGTCTTCGACGAAGGTTGCTGAAAATCACCCAATTGTTCTTTGTCAAGGTAGTTGTTTTCATTTATTTGTTCGCTCTTATGCACACGTAGATCACTGGAAATCATGTTCTCCCCAGATCTATTGCGAATGCGGTGCGAATGCGGTGGTGGGTGTGGCCGTGATGGTGCTTCTTCAGGTGGCAGTGGTTAAGCTCATGGGTTGCTTTAGGGTTTCAGTTATGTTAGGTATGTAGGCTTTGTTTGGGCTTATGATTAATTATGGTGATGTGGGCTAATATTTTAGTGCCCCTTTTGTCCGGTTTAGTTTTTTTTTATATAATATGTTAGTTTGTTGCCTTCTTGGGATTAGTACACTAGACGTCATGTTGATGTCTTTAATTGTACTAGTGAAAGTTTATCTAGTGAAGTTTTTCTTTGATGAAAGGCCCTTTAGGTAGTCATCTAACCCTAGGACTTATGCACTATAAATAAGGCCCTTAGGTAGTCATATTATTTGTGACTGTGAGTGTGGCACCGAGGATAATATCAAGGAGATTTGCTAGGAATCGAATCCTTGATTTAGGGAGATATTCATATCTTAAACTAAGGATAATTGGCTAATTAAATATGATTTAATTAGCACAATTATTTGACCTATGGAATATTCCTTTATCCACGTGTCACCTTCTAATTGGTTGCCAAAATTCATGTTTAAGTCTAAACCAATTTTTTGTAACATATTGTGGTGATTGCACCACCACTCTGTCAATATGTTGAGTATGATTGCTAAAATCCATCCACTCTTGTGTAACAAGATGATGTAGGAAATTTATATTGCCTGCATGAGCAAAGAAACCACAGTTTTTTAAACCCATCTTATGTGAGTGATCAATATCAAAGGACTGGACAGTGTAAGTGCAGAGGAGCTGCTCGGATCCCTCCAAATTTATGAACAACGCATTCAGAATGCATGTTCCACATCGTTAGAGCAAGCTTTGGAGTCAAAGCTGAATTTTCCAAACCAAAAGGTGGTCGTGGGCATGGTCGAGGCCTAGGAAGAGGTTTTTTTTATAATCGTGGCGCATCTTAGGAAAGGAGAAATGCATATATTAGAGGAAAGAAGAATGTCAAATGTTACAGTTGAAGGAAAAGGAAAAATCAAGATAATTCAGAAGGATGGTAAAGAATACGCCTCTGATGTTTGCTATATACAAAGAATGAAGAGCAATATTTTTAGCGTCGGTTAGCTCATCCAGAAGGGATATCTCGTAGACATGGAGAATAATTTTCTGCTGAAAAAACCAAACATAGAAACCACACTATGTCCCAAAGATACCCGTGCCTGAGTAACCTCAGCCCATGACTAATAAAACCAAAAAAGAGCTATAAGAATCTGTTTGGTAATAGAACAAATTATAAAGATATCTTTTAGTTGTAATTTTTTAGTAATATTCATATACAGCTTTCTGTATTTTTTTTCCCTTCTCTTCACCTTGATCTACCATCTTTTTCACGTTCCTCCCGCTTTTCCATTCTATGTCTTTAATTAAAACAAAAAACATATAGCGAAGCCGACGACACGGAGGGCTGGCAAAGAAAATATGCATGCTAAATCAATATTTTAAACAGAACGAGCTCTGAATGGCCTACTAAACCATATTCAGAACATTGGATACATGTGAACCATGATCAAATTCTAGAACTTATTACATTAGGAAGTAAAAATCTGCAGGAGCTGGGTACTTCTGTTTCTGGCGTAAATGGAAGCGTGCCCTCTATGCTGATGCCATGTTCTTAAGCATTTGGCTCCAGATGATAAGGAGTAGGAATCAAGTGTAGTTCTTCCTTTTTTCTAACTGTGACGCCGAAAGTCTCGGTCATGTCCAAACCCTCTTGCTTCATTCCATTGGGGAGTTTCCAATCAAAATGGTACAGCAGTTGTGCAAGAGGAAGCTCAATATTTGGTATAGCAAATGTTATGCCCGGACATATCCTCCTTCCTGCTCCAAATGGGATAAATTCAAAATTAGTTCCCCTGAAATCAACTGAACTATCAAGGAATCTCTCTGGACAAAATGTTTCCGCTTCAGTCCAATACTTAGAATCTCTTCCAATTGCCCATGCATTCACAATGACTTTGGTTTTAACAGGTATCCCATATCCATCAATCTCACAACTTTCACTACATTCTTTTGGAAGCAACAAAGGAATAGGAGGGTGTACTCTCAAAGTCTCTTTGATAACTGCCTTTAAGAATTTCAATTCCTGAAGACCAGTTTCCTCGACATTGCCTTTTGTACGAAAGACCTGCCTAACCTCTGCTTGTGCCTTTTTCATAACTCTTGGTGTATTCAGCATTTCTGACATTGCCCATTCCACTGTCGATGATGATGTTTCACTCCCAGCTGTGAAAATGTCCTGAAATAGAATACATGTATTTCAGTAGTATGACCAAACATCATTTCTTGTACATGTTGCAAACAATTTTAGTTTAAACCAGTTCCTTGTTGTTAGGTTCTTTCTAAACTGATATCATGCCCATTCTTTCAACAGCAACTTAGGGGAATGTGTGTATGAAGTAGATTGAGTGAAGAATACATAGAGAAGTCAGAAGAGAGATTTCTGTTTCAATAGGATTAACCATAAACATTGAGTGAAGAATACATAGAGAAGTGAATTATTGGGTGCCTAAGTAAACTTTGTTAGTGGAACTATGAAAAACTTTATGGTAAATACATAAACATAAACATACTAACCAGGAGAACCGCTTTGATATTGTTCATTGTTAAAGGAACTTCAAGCTCACCATGCTCCTGCAGATTCAAAAGGACACCTAATAGATCGTTTGCTTTGTCCTTGCCTGTATTCTCGGCTTCCTCCTTGCTGGCTTTATGCTCTTTGACAATGTTGTCAAGTATCATGTCAATTTTCCTATGAATCTTCTCAAGTTTAGGCCTCTTCCCACTGATCACTTGAAGTATTTTTGTAGAAGGGAATACATCTGCAACCTCAAAACCGCCAGTTGCCTCTGCACCTTCCCTGACAGCTGTTATGAGCTCTTCTTGGACCTGGTCTTTGCATTTGTTACCAAAGGCCACTCTAGCAGTAATGCCATACGTCATGGAAAAAATTTTCTCGCCAAGGTTTATAGGCAATCCGATGTTTGAAGAAATAAATTTGAGTAAATCAGATACCTCTTCATCCCTGATTGATTGGAATGAGTCTACCCGTTTCGAGTTCAGCAGCACGGATCCGCAAATTTTCCTCATCTGTCTCCAGTAATCTCCATAAGGTGCAAAAGCAATGCCAGAACCACCATAAGAGATGATATCCGGAGCAAGGAGGAGTGGCCTGTAAGAAAAGATGCTGTCATGAGTTCTCATAATCTCCTTGGCAGTTTCTGGTGCAGAGACCACAACAGCTGAAACTTCACCCAATTGCAAGTGCATAAGGGGTCCATAGATCTTAGCCAAGTCTCTCAAAGTGTGATGGGGTAGAGAACCAACAAGTTGGTGCATATTTCCAATTATAGGAAGTTTCCGTGGCCCTGGAGGTAGCTTTAAATTGGAATTCTTGGTTCTGTGTCTCTTGCATATCTTCAATATCATGAAGATAAAGAGGAAGATGGTGAAGAGGGTAGGCAAGGATCCAGAGGGAAATTGAAACTCCATGTAGAAAATGTAGAGAAATGAGAGAATTTATCAAAGTTGACTCTGCAACTAATGTTTTATACATGTTCAGGATTATAGAAGATGCTTCATGCAAGATTCTGCTTTGGCTTTTAGTTCTGTACTTTGGCAGTGTGAATGAAAATGGACATAAGGTAAAAAACCAAAAATCAATTCCTGAACAAAGCCACCAGCCACTATGAGCAATAAGCATGAAGATAAATAGTCACCTAAATTTCAACCCTTTGGCTAATAACCATTTTTTTACTTTTTTGGTTAATGGTGTGTGAAATGAGCAATAAAACTCCAAACAGTAAAATGTGATGGGGAGGAAATTGCAGCTCCTTCTCATCTCTCGGCCACTTGCGTACTTTAGGCCAAAACATTTGGTTACTCAAACATATTCTTTCTGAATGTTACTCTTTTACTGGGAAATTGACAAATCACATTCCTCTTTCCGAAATGCTTGAATTCATAGCACCATCCAAATTTTGTGAACAACTAAGGAATATATGAATAGATACACTGGTGTAATGACAGGACTTTCCTTTTGGCTTCTCTCCCTTTTGCTCTACAATATTCTTCTCAATAATACTAGTTTCAATTCAATACGTTAAAAATAACGTAGTTGGATGAACTAATAACTGTGGAATATAAAACACAGATGTTGTTGTTATATCTATAGCTGGCACATTTGAAGAATAAAAAAAACAAATAGAAACCACATTGTCCCAAAACACAGATGTTGTTGTTATATCTACAAAACAGAGATGTTGTTGTAAAGATAAAACCAGCCATCACAGATTCACAAGTAAAAATACTATTTCAAACCTTCATATCCATAAAAGATAAAAGTCTCAACATCTTAACATGATACAAACAGTACATAAAATCACAAGAAGGCCAGCAACACAAACCAACAGCTGCTTCAACATAACTTACCAGCTTCAAGGCACTCTGTTTGCTTATTAGGAGAACTTGAGTTCTCACTTAAAGCACAAACAGAAACAAGCCCCCAAATACACAAAACCAACTAATTGAAAATTCAACAGGCCCAACAACCTAAAATGAGAAGAAACAGGCCTCTAAATAACATAATCAGACCACTCAGACATGTTGTAAGTATGGTCCATGGTGTAGCTAGGAATCTTGTCATGCTTGATTGGATTTTCTTTCCCTCCAAGCAGCCTAGCTGGGTTCCCAACTGCAGTAGTCCTTGGAGGCACTTCCTTTAGAACCACAGAACAAGCCCCAATCTTTGCCCCTTCACCAATTTTGATGTTGCCCAAAATACAAGTCCCTGCCCCAATAAGCACCCCATCACCAATCTTTGGGTGCCTGTCCCCTGAGGCCTTTCCAGTCCCTCCCAAGGTCACATTGTGCAAAATTGACACATTGTTTCCGATCACCGCCGTCTCGCCGACAACAACTCCGGTAGCGTGATCGAGCAAAATCCCATGTCCGATTTTCGCCCCGGGATGAATATCCACCGCAAAAACCTCAGATACCCTGTTCTGGATCAACAAGGCCAAGACCGTCCTGCCCTGTGACCACAATTTATGTGCAATCCTATGCGATTGGCATGCAAGGAAGCCTTTGAAATTCAAGAAACAGTGAGTATAGCTTACGCAAGCTGGGTCCCTCTCTTTCACTGCCCTTAGATCATCCTTCACGGCCTTGATGACTTCTTGATCCTCTGTGAGCACCCCCATGAAAATATCAACTAGAGTACCAAGAGAGAGACTAGAATTGCTCAGTTTGACAGACAGATGATTAGCTAAGGCACTTTCTAGAGATGCATGTGCCAAAATTGAAGTGTAAATGAAATTTGACAACATGGGTTCTTGATTAATATCTGCCCGAGCTTCATCTTGCATTTTCAGCCATAGCCCATCGTCCTTGTCTTCATCTTGCTCAAGATCGTCCAGGATTCTGCGTGTATGTGTGGTTTTTGTGCGATTCTGGCAAATGGGTAGACAAGAAACTTGATCTGAGAAATTGACACGGCAGAATCTCATGAACTGGTACGGATCTTCGTCCGTTTTGGACCTGTTTGGATCCCGAGAAAGTGGCTTGTTTTGGGATGAGCCAGTTCTTGAAGTGTCAATACAAGCAGCCATGGGATTCAGGATTGCTTGCTGTTTGGGAAGTGAGGAAATGGGTGAAAGGAATTGAAAATTTGTGTGGACAGAGGAGTTGGGTGAGAGAAGTTCCTGGGTGGAGAGAAAAGGGGAAGCCTTATATAGGCTTCGAGCTACGGCCAGACCTTTCATGGAAAATCAGAGATTTTCTCGGAAAAGTTGGAAGAAATATAATAAACAGATAAATCAAAATGAAAGAAAGAACTGGATTGTGTGGAGGCTCCGTGGAGAAGGCCTGGTCTTAAGGCAGCATTTCTCTATAATTTATAGAGTCACTATCTATGTCAGGAACACGTTAGGTCATTCGTGTATGGCTTGCAATCTCACATACATCTAATCTTGTGTACTGTCTTTTTTCTTTCTTTCTGTAGTGGGTCATTACTTTTTCATTTTGGTTGGGTCCAAGTTTTTTTTTAAAAATCTAACAAGGACGAATATTGCAAGAAAAAGTCCTAACGGCTAGAAATCTAAAAATGAAAACATCAAAGGTGATCGTACAAATATGATTCTATGGAGAAAATTAGTCATAAATTTCAAGTTTTTGCACCACAAGGTTATCTGCTTTCTATTTAAGATTTCCAATTTGGGTACCATCAATAAGAGCAAATAGCTTTGTTGATCAAAAAACGTGAGATGTACTTTGTATAATGGGAGGGGTAAGTTTTATATATATATATATACAGAAATTCTCTTATGCGGACATCCGGACGTTATTATCGTGCGGACGCTGTGTATTTTGTACTACCCCTTTCTGTTTTCCTGCATGTTTACAATAGGATCCGCACGATAATAATGTGCGGACATCCGGATAAGAGAATAACTGTATATATATATTTATTTATTTTTTTTTATAAAATTTTTAAATTTTTAAAAAAGAGCTAATTTTCTCACTCCTATTTTCTCCACTTACACTCTCTTTTGCTTTTTAATACTTTTTAATCAATTTTGTTCTTTCTCTTTCCTATTCTACCTTCATCCTCCATTAATTTAGGGTTTAGGGCTCAAGGAAATCCTTGCGGTAGTTAACTAGGCGGAGCAAGGGCTCCTAGCGAGACTCAAGAAAATCATTGTCGGAAAAGGTGGAGTTGCAGGGGCTCACTCTTGAAAAGTACGGGTGTTGTGAACGAACTAGTTACCTTGGCTTGGATTTCGCCAAGGTGGGGGCTCACTCTAGAAAAGTATGGGTGTTGTGAACAGGCTGGTTACCTTGGTTTGGATCTCGCCAAGGTGGAGATTGTTGGTGTAGGTGGCTCGATACAAGCCATGATGTGTAAGTCCCACATCGGAGAATACAACAATAATATATTTGGTCCATTCCTAATTGCACTGAAGCCTTTTGTGATAAAACCGCCTAGAAGTCTATCTCTCCTAAGTGGTTAAGGTGGGGACAATATTGATGCATGCTTTGGACGGATAATAGACTCTTATTGAGCCCATTTGCGCAACAAATCCTATACAATGTTTTGAACCAAAAAAAAAATAGACCATGTAAACTATAGACCATTACAACTAAATGTTAATTGAATTAACAAATTGACACAATTTTTTACAGGTGGCGAATTGCAACAAGACCTATTCATATGATTTGGTCTAATTTTCCGTAAAAGATATCAACACAACAAAAACAAAAACGAAAAAAATACTGCAACAACAACATTGAGGGACGAGAGTAAACAGATTTAGCTTGAAATGATTCATACGCACATACGAATATCATGGACCTACCCATTTTATTATCTATAACTTCTTTTTCTTTATCAAAATTGCAAATTCATTGGATAAGTTTTATAACTGCAACCAACACATCCAAAAAAACCAAGCTCGTAAAGACAACAAAACCAACAACCTCAAAAAGACAAGTAAACTTTTATTTCTTTTATCATTTCTTTTATTTGAGATGTAACTTAATCTCGGGTTTGGAAATGGATGGGAAGAGATCTACTTTGTGGCTCAAAAATTTACGTGACCTAGCCCAAAATGGTGTCGTTTTGCCCGATTCCACAAAACGCAAGCGGTGTCAACTCAAGAAATGGGTCAACCACTTGCTTGATGAAATGGGTCAACCCTCTCGCCTTCCATGGCGTTTTCCATTCCTTTGGGATCAATTGACTACCTTGCTCAACGTGATTCCGCCATTGATTGTAATACATACACATGATATTAATGATACACTCACATAGTGGTGTATATTTCTTATTGCTATATTTAGAAGTATAAACTTCTCAAACACTCATTTTGAAACACCTGAATTAGTACCACAACGTCAAAAATTATAGTTATAAAGAAAAGTTACTCATTTTTTAAGCTATCGTTAGCATTTGTAAATATAATAATTAAGAGCATTTATTCTACATTCCTTTTTTCTTCCTTTTCCAGTTATCATCTCTTTAGTCGGCTCAGAGAATTAATTAGATGTTAATCCAACTACCTTTAGTCTGAATTAAGAATATAATTATGTCGTTTTCAGAGTTGTACACGAAAAAGAAATAAAGAAAAAAAATGAATTATTCATACGTAATGGGTTACATAACCATAACCAGTGAAGAAGTATTAAACAGAGGGAGATGCATGATTCCTTCTGCCGTGGAAGTAAAGAAGACCAAGGACCGACGAATCACCTACGGTCAAACGCAGCCTTGAAAGTCCTAAGCCAACTTGCTTTTGTGAAGCGCCACTTCATCCCACACGTCATGGTCCTCTAGCAAGTCACCACGTGTCCTTCTCCAGACCTATGATCAGCTTTTCAAAGAAAATCAACCGCAAGATTTGCACATGCTTTGGTTTTGTTTTGTTTTTCTTTTGTTTTGAATTTTTTTATGGGACCCCCCCAACCCTCTGTCTCTCTCTCTCTCTCACTAATCACTCCCTTAGACCAAAAAGAGAGAAAAAAAGAGGATATAATTCAAGAAGAACTAGACTCTTCGCAAGTGCTTCAACGCTTGTGATAGACTTTTTTTAAAAAAATTTAAAATTATTTTAGAATTAAAAA